ATCTTCAGAAATCATTCTAATATGCTGATTTGCTGCTCAAGAAACTGATTTTCTGCTCAAAAAACATTTATTATTATTATGATTATTATGTTGAGTAGATTTTTTTCAGGTTCCTTTGATGAATAGAAAATTTAGAAGAACAGCATTTATCTAAAATAGAAATCTTTTGTGACATTATAACATTATATACATCTTTATCATCACTTCTGATCAATTTAAAGCATCATGTATCTAGCAATTACATATTCCTTCAACAACAACAACAACAACAATCATAATAATAATATTAATAAACGTTATTAATATTTATTATTGTTATAATTACTAATTGTTGTTGTTGCTAAAACCGCATTATTATTATTATAGTTATTATAGTTATTATTATTATTATTAGACAGGCACAACCCAGCAATATTACTCCAATTAGTCACAGCGCAATTATATAAACTGTGCAACGTGGTTGGTCTTGTTATATAGCCAAAGCGCAAATCTCTCAGAGGAGGTATCCATGGGCGTCTCGCAAGTCGCACTATTCACCAAACCACTATTTATCACTACTGATGAATGCTTATACATTTACAGTGTAATTCTACGTTTTATCACGCAGTATTTCTTTCTTCTTGAAACGCTAAAGAATTTTGAGAAGTGCGTTTGTTTTTAATTTGATAGTAGTGGGTCTATCCGTGGCGGAGGGATCTGTGCAACGAGTCCAGCGCCCAAACAAGGAGAATTAAGAGTTAATACGGTCTCCCCGCTCTCTCTCACTCAGACACATCAACCGAGCAGACCCAAAAGCGCGAACGTGTGCAGTTCTCTCACTATGGGTGCGCGGGGACATTTGTGAATAATTACCGGAGTTTGACACGTTTGTAGACGAGGAATCGAAATCGTTTTGCGATCGTTCGTGGGATTTTCGCGCGGAGTCCCACTCCTAAATACATTTTTGAAGGGAATCCGCTGTTCTCGGTGAAGGACGGAGTGCCGGTGTTTTCCGGTTCGAAGCACAGTTACGCATCGCAAGGACTGAGAATCGTTTTGAGAAGGCGACAAAAAATGTTACTGTCCAAGTTTGGATCTTTTTCTCATATTTGCAACACGACCAACATCGACCACTTGCCGGTGAAAATTCAACTTCAAGCAGGTAACAGACGTCGTTCTTCAATATCATAATAACGATATACATGTTTCACTTCGCATTTAATTGCGTGTCCTTCCTCCGTTATTTACTCCTAATTTTCCACACGCGACATCCAGCCGCTTAATCGGCACGCGCCTGTCCGTGACCTGCGTATGGAGCCATTTTGTTGCCAAGCGTGCATTGTACACATTCGGTTTAAATCGCGTTTTTATAGCAACACACTAACTCATACTGCTTTTTCTCCTTCGTTTTACAGCCAAGACCGAAAGGGAGCCGTTTGACAAGGTTTATGAAGTGGGCTCGGTGCTGGGAAGCGGCGGCTTTGGGACAGTGTACGCCGGTTCTCGGCTCTCAGACGCGTTGCCGGTAAGCGCTGGCTTTGTTTTGGTGGCAGCACATGGCCGCGTTTGGCGCCACAGTCACACATTCATATGCGCGTTTTTCTCTTTTTGTCTCTAGGTTGCGATAAAACACGTCGCTAAGGAGAGAGTGACCGAATGGGGTACGATTGTAAGTAAACAAGCCTTTATTATGTGTTATTTTTCTTATCAACGCTAGGTTGTTTCTAAAACGCGTGTTTATATTCCAGAACGGCTCGCTGGTTCCACTCGAGATCGTTTTGTTGAAGAAAGTCGGGAGTACGTTTCAGGGGGTCATTAAACTCATCGATTGGTATGAGAGAGCCGACGGCTGGCTGATTATAATGGAGCGGCCGGAGATGGTGAAGGATTTATTTGACTTCATCACGGAGAAAGGCGCGCTGGACGAGGACACCGCCAGGCGCTTCTTCAGACAGGTTTTGGAGGCGGTGCGGCACTGCTACAGCTGCGGGGTGGTTCATCGGGATATCAAAGACGAGAACCTCCTGGTGGATTTACGCACCGGAGATCTCAAGCTCATTGACTTCGGCTCCGGGGCCATCCTCAAGGACACCGTCTACACAGACTTTGATGGTGCGTCCTTGACTCTTACCCATCCTGCTCTGCATTGGCGCACCTGCCGCTTCTAGTAAAACGAGTTCAAGTATTTTTATGGAAAGTGTCAGATCCTGACTTGGGGAAAAATAATTACACTTAATAATTAGCCCTAGAGTTAAAGAAAATTAAGTGTCTGAATCGAGTGTCTCACCTCTGCTGAAAAACAGCTTTGATGGTTTTATCTGGTCTGGCTTGGTTTCAAAAGGTTTTAGGCACGTGTTTTAGGAAAATCAGCTGGAAACTTCTTCGCAAGGCTAAAAGACCATCTTTAACCTGTTAAGACTATCTTAGACCAGCAAACAGTTTTTTTTTTTGTTTTTTTTTTTACATTTTATGTGAAAAACAACATTTTTCACCTTGTTCACAACAATTTCTATATATAAAGATGTTTTTTTTTTCAGTAGGATCCAATCCTCACAGGTTGCGTTATAAACTTAATACCTGTACATTTGTTTTTATGTTGTTTGAAGAATTGCATTTTTAAACTCATTTAATGTTACCTTATCCCATCGAATCTGAGAGGTAAGTTAATGGAAAGGATCAGCTCTTACTGCGTAGCATCTGTTTGTTGTGAAACCTGAGTTGCGGCACCACGTGATCCCATCACGTATCCCTGTTTTTGTTTGGTATCCAGGCGACTCCTAGCCTTTGGGGGCCTGTCACACCACCCCTAGTGAAGGGGCTTTTGTTGGGGGAAGTGACTCATGCTGGAAGCATGTGGAGTTGCCATAGCTTGTGACTGTTTGTACCTGAAAGTCTCCCTTTTAGATCGCCCTCCTGTTTCAGCTTGCTTGTATTTTTGGATCGAGCCGTTCTCCGGCTCACAGTGAGGCTGAAGGAGGGAGGAGAGTTTGTGCGAACGCCAGACCGCTGGCGCCCCCCTTGCTAGAGTCAGCTGACTGGAGCGGCTCATTATACAGTGCTGCAGTGTAATCAAAATCTGCGCTTTTTACGCCAAAACAAGGCGATTATGAAACGAGTGTTGTGTCGTGCCAGAAATAAAAATCACAGAGTAGGTTTCAGGACCAAAAAAAAGTGCAATCTTCATGCTCTTGGCTCGCAAATAGATGTTTTGTAAGTCTCAAAGGTTAATTCTCACTGGATTGAAAACCAAATGTTTTATTTTGTAGGCACGCGAGTGTACAGTCCTCCCGAGTGGATACGTTACCACAGGTACCACGGACGCTCGGCAACCATTTGGTCCCTTGGCGTCCTACTGTACGACATGATGTGCGGCGACATCCCGTTTGAGCATGATGAGGAGATTCTGAGAGGACGGCTCTTTTTCAGGAGAAGAGTCTCTCCATTTTGTCTCTTTTGTCTCTAGGTTGCGATAAAACACGTCGCTAAGGAGAGAGTGACCGAATGGGGTACGAAACAAGCCTTGTTTCTAAAACGCGTGTTTATATTCCAGAACGGCTCGCTGGTTCCACTCGAGATCGTTTTGTTGAAGAAAGTCGGGAGTACGTTTCAGGGGGTCATTAAACTCATCGATTGGTATGAGAGAGCCGACGGCTGGCTGATTATAATGGAGCGGCCGGAGATGGTGAAGGATTTATTTGACTTCATCACGGAGAAAGGCGCGCTGGACGAGGACACCGCCAGGCGCTTCTTCAGACAGGTTTTGGAGGCGGTGCGGCACTGCTACAGCTGCGGGGTGGTTCATCGGGATATCAAAGACGAGAACCTCCTGGTGGATTTACGCACCGGAGATCTCAAGCTCATTGACTTCGGCTCCGGGGCCATCCTCAAGGACACCGTCTACACAGACTTTGATGGTGCGTCCTTGACTCTTACCCATCCTGCTCTGCATTGGCGCACCTGCCGCTTCTAGTAAAACGAGTTCAAGTATTTTTATGGAAAGTGTCAGATCCTGACTTGGGGAAAAATAATTACACTTAATAATTAGCCCTAGAGTTAAAGAAAATTAAGTGTCTGAATCGAGTGTCTCACCTCTGCTGAAAAACAGCTTTGATGGTTTTATCTGGTCTGGCTTGGTTTCAAAAGGTTTTAGGCACGTGTTTTAGGAAAATCAGCTGGAAACTTCTTCGCAAGGCTAAAAGACCATCTTTAACCTGTTAAGACTATCTTAGACCAGCAAACAGTTTTTTTTTTTGTTTTTTTTTTTACATTTTATGTGAAAAACAACATTTTTCACCTTGTTCACAACAATTTCTATATATAAAGATGTTTTTTTTTTCAGTAGGATCCAATCCTCACAGGTTGCGTTATAAACTTAATACCTGTACATTTGTTTTTATGTTGTTTGAAGAATTGCATTTTTAAACTCATTTAATGTTACCTTATCCCATCGAATCTGAGAGGTAAGTTAATGGAAAGGATCAGCTCTTACTGCGTAGCATCTGTTTGTTGTGAAACCTGAGTTGCGGCACCACGTGATCCCATCACGTATCCCTGTTTTTGTTTGGTATCCAGGCGACTCCTAGCCTTTGGGGGCCTGTCACACCACCCCTAGTGAAGGGGCTTTTGTTGGGGGAAGTGACTCATGCTGGAAGCATGTGGAGTTGCCATAGCTTGTGACTGTTTGTACCTGAAAGTCTCCCTTTTAGATCGCCCTCCTGTTTCAGCTTGCTTGTATTTTTGGATCGAGCCGTTCTCCGGCTCACAGTGAGGCTGAAGGAGGGAGGAGAGTTTGTGCGAACGCCAGACCGCTGGCGCCCCCCTTGCTAGAGTCAGCTGACTGGAGCGGCTCATTATACAGTGCTGCAGTGTAATCAAAATCTGCGCTTTTTACGCCAAAACAAGGCGATTATGAAACGAGTGTTGTGTCGTGCCAGAAATAAAAATCACAGAGTAGGTTTCAGGACCAAAAAAAAGTGCAATCTTCATGCTCTTGGCTCGCAAATAGATGTTTTGTAAGTCTCAAAGGTTAATTCTCACTGGATTGAAAACCAAATGTTTTATTTTGTAGGCACGCGAGTGTACAGTCCTCCCGAGTGGATACGTTACCACAGGTACCACGGACGCTCGGCAACCATTTGGTCCCTTGGCGTCCTACTGTACGACATGATGTGCGGCGACATCCCGTTTGAGCATGATGAGGAGATTCTGAGAGGACGGCTCTTTTTCAGGAGAAGAGTCTCTCCAGGTATGTTCTGAACCAGAGATACCCCAAACCAGGGGCCAAAATTGACCCATAATGATTTGGCTCGCCATGCCATATCATAAAAGGAAGGGAAAAAATGCCATTAAACAATATATTTATTTCTAATTTATATTTTTGTTAACCTTTATTTTTGCCTTGCAAAAAGTGAAATTGGTTAATGTAAACAGTCTAGACTTTAATTTTTAAACCCTTTTGTGGGTGAGAAGTTTAACCTTTCTGGCTTTTTTCTTTCTGTTTATCAGTGTGTCAGCAGCTCATCAAATGGTGCCTCTGCTTGAGACCTTCTGACCGGCCCACTTTGGAGCAGATCTTCGAGCATCAGTGGATGCGCATGGAGGAAAGCCCGAAAGCAGAAAGCGGCAACATCACACTTCACGCCATCAGCACAGAATCGGGCAAAGAAAGCCTTTGACGGATGCGGGGACGGCGAGTGAATGGACTCTGAGACCTTTTTGCTCTTGTTCCCAGTCTGTTGGTTAACAGGACTTCGGTTTTTGTTGCATAAATGTCTTTTTTTGGTTGTTTTTCTTGCTAAGGGTGAGTTGTTATCCGTAGGGATTGCGTGAGCAGCAATGCTAGTGATCCTTTGATCTTACTGGTTGCTCTTATAGAGCTTGGACATTATTTTCCTTTTAGACTATCTTTTTAGTTTTCGGTGCCTTTTTTGGAAAGCTGCTTTTATGGGATTCAAGTCAGGACAGACACCAGGTGGATTTTCATGGATTTGAGGGGAACTCCCCTGGATTCATGGGAACCTTCAAAGACTGTATCTAGTTATGTGGTGGGTCTCCCTTGCCCTCTAGTGGTCGAATACTTGAAGTACACACTTACTACTCTCTTAACAGCATCTCTGCTGCTCTGCCATTCATATTCACTATTTCAGTGGTTTTTCCCTTCTGTTGTTGTTTTCTGAATGTCTTCCACTACTTCATCTCTGTTGACATCACTTTTTAGACTTTGCTTAGCAGAGACTTGAGTGATGTGCATAATCAATGCAATATTCATGGACTCACTTATCTTATTTCATTTTTTTTTTTTTCCTTCTTTTTTTTGGGACTTTGGTTTTTTAAATACAAGTATTTGTATTGTATTTATGTACATTTTCTTCCATGTATCTTATTTATTCATGCAATACAAACATTCCACATTCAGTGGCTATTTATTTATTTATTTATTTATTCATTTTATACCATCTGCAAAAAGTAAATTAAAATTGTTAAATGTAAATAGTTCTTGGGCTTATCTTTAGTTTAACCTAAAGGATCATAGACACGCTAAAGCTATCTAATACTGATACAAATATACAATTGAGATGTTTAGTGATGCCATTTTCTGATGTAGTGTAAAATTTAGAATCAGTTTTTTCTCCATGTGAAGTGGAAGTAAAAATGTGTTTTAGTCTTTCCACTGTGACAGTGTGGAATTTTTATTTTTTTTGAACTGGTGAAGCATTTATTTTTTTATATTGGACACAATAAATTCCTTTCATATGTAAATTGTGGTGTCTGTTTGCATTTAAATGAAATGTCTTATGTTTTCATGTGCTGTTATACACAGTATTTGAGGGTGCTGCCCCCTACAGATAGTGGAACTGAGGACTGATTGGAAGAAACCTGACCGATAGCTTAGAACATTTAGTAAAATAAAATAGAAAATACTCCAAATATTCTTAGTTCCATTCACTTCAGTCCATTCCCAAAATCTGATTTTGAACATGAGGAAGTAGCCACAGATTGTGTATCTGACTCACCCCTCACATGAACTGCCCAAACATCCTGCTGAGTAGTTAACATTACTCGCATTAGTCAACGGGGTATGCAAATGTGATGACACATTGGCGTTAAAGCATTACTGTCAGAGAGCTGTGTGAGACTTAATGATTCATTATGTAATGCATGATTCAGATGTAGAATCACCTGAGATTGTTAAATTCTACCTACTGTTACGAAGGTATCAAATATGTGACCCTGGAGCACAAAACCAGTCTTAAGTCGCTGGGGTATATTTGTAGCAATAGCCAAAAATACATCGTACGGGTCAAAATTATCGATTTTTCTTTTATGCCAAACATCATTCGGATATTAAGTAAAGATCATGTTCCATGAAGATATTTTGTAAATTTCCTACCGTAAATATATCAAAACTTCATTTTTGATTAGTAATATGCATTGCTAAGAACTTCATTTGGACAACTTTAAAGGGGATTTTCTCAATATTTTGAATTTTTTCATTCTTCGCCATATGGGCTGCTGGACTGATAAGAAGACTTGACTTCTGTCAATGCTTGTATTGTAACGAGCAGTTTACTCAAGATAACTAATGTACCACAGCCTAGGGTTTACATTAACATATGAGTCCATAATCATAATAAACTTGATAATGAGTTGACAGCTGATAGTTCAATAAATCAAGCTCTTTACACTAGTTGAGTAACTAATTGCAGGTCAAAATTTCCCACATTTTTTGATCAGTGACTTTCCCATGATTTGTAATTACAGTACACCCAGCTAACATGAAACATTCTCAGAACTTTGGCTAACATTCTGGTTCTCTCAGAGTTATGAACAAACATTCTTCCAGTAACGTTAATAGAACATTCACTCAAAATGATCTGGTCTTTATTCATATTAGCACAAAACTATGATTTATACATTGTTTATAGAACGTTTTTCTGAAAGATTTTAGTTGGATGTTCGTCTAACGTTTTTAAATGTTACTACTTATTAGTTTCAGATGGTTCAAAGAACGTTCAAAAGTGACATTCCCAAATGTTTATAAAAATATAAAATTAAAAGATTTTTTTTTTACATTTAAAAACTGTATGTTGCATGTTGGTGATTTTCATTGCTACAGATTTGGTGACGTTGTTGCCTCAAACTATTGTTTGTAGCATGTGGATAGTCAAAATTGATTGGGTGAATTCACGTTTTACACAGTTTATTGTACAGGTAGCTAATCTCTGCTCTAAACTAATGTGCTGCTACACTGCACGCACACACACAACACACAAGCTCGCACATAAGGTACAGATCGTGCACACATAGAAACAATCAGGAGTGCAGAAAATTGTCAAGACTGTACTGTGGTTTATCAGCTTAAAAATGGAAAAGTTACAGCATATTCTTCATATTCGCTGCACAGACAAGTGAGTTAAGCAATAATTTAATGTTAAACTATTCTTCTAGTATTGTGTATTTATTTTTCATTTAATATAAGTTCTGAACAGAATTTTGTGATATTTCAAAACACTGAAATACTTCAACCATGGAGCGAGTTGAGCGAGTTGAGCGAGGAACGGGAAATGGTGAACCCGGAGCAGAGCTGGAACGGAGTGATTATTGAATGCTTGGAGTGTGGAGGAGAAATTGTTGCCCCTCCACATACTCTGGTTCCTGGAACTCTTGAACACCCTTTTTACTGCTGTGATATGTTTGGATGTTTTCAATTAGCTTTCAGTGAAAAAAAAAAAATTTATCTCTTAGTTTTAGTAAATACCGTTTTTTGAGAATATAGCCTACTGAATTTCCTTTTTTTTTCTCACATAGTGGACATGGTAATTTTGGTCGGTAAATACCACATTTATACATGCAAATGGAAGAAATGTAAACCCTCCTTTACTATATTTCATGATTTTGTGAGAATATTTCCAAGTTTGCTTACAAATACTTAATAGAAAACTAAGTAGAAAGATGGGAAACATATGCTTCTCATTTTCAAAATAGTTACTATTTTAGTGCTGTCCTGATTTATACATTTGTTAGCCCATTAAATTTAAAATCTTGCTTTTTTTTGTCAGTGTGGTGTGCCAGCTATAATAATAAGAAGAAATGTTTCTTGAGCAGCAATCAGCATGATTTCCGAAGGATCATGTGACACTGAAAGCTGGAGTAATTGAGCTTTAGCATGAGAGGAAAACACATTTTTAAAATATCCAAAAAGAAAGCAGTTCTTTCAAATTGTAGATTTACTGTTTGCTGTACTTTTTTTTTTTTTGATCAAACACATGCAACCTTACTGAGCAGAAGAGATTTGTTTCAAAACCATTAAAAAATCTTACTGACCTTTTTTTTTTTTTGAATGGTGGTGTATAGCATAAGCTATATTTTATTTGTAATATAACCTATATTAAAAGCATGTATTTTAACCCAAATATAACAGCCCACAGTAGCACATAAATCATTTTTAAAAATATGTCATTGAATGCCACATAACATTCATGACATATATTTTATTTGACTGGACTTGAAATACCATTATCATTAGTTTCCCAAGGAGCAAAAAAGCTACGTGAATATAAATTAGGCTATATTTATGAGCGTTGAATAAACTCTTGAAATTTGGCATTCAAACCAACCGCAGCCAACCAGCAAACAAAAAGCATTCATATTAATTTTTCTAATCATAATGTTGGTGATTTCTAATCATAGATCCAGTTATAATCAGTCGTTCAGTACCTGAGCGCTACATAAACGGATGCCGCGTTCTCTGCCGCACTCCACTCGCTTACGCTACCGACAAGTTAACAAACGGATATAGAATGTGCGCTTTGATGCATCCAGTGTACAGTAGAGACGGCGTTAGGATGTGGCAGACCACTTTCTTTTGCAAGTTTCAGCTCATACATCTTTGGTGTAAACTCGCCTTAACCAAACACCCCCCAAGAAACCCTCAGCGCCCCCCTTTCAAAAATATTGCTTCCAGCACCCCCCGATGCTCTCCGAACGCTCCCGTTGAGAAACAACGCTCTTTCGGTACAGACCCAAAAATGTCAGGTATACATTTACATTTTGCAGATATATTATTTGACAGGTATAGAGTATACAGGTTTTTTTTTTTTTCTTATCTAATCTGCGGCCTATGGGAAAACAATATAAATAACTGAACAACTTAGATCACACAATACACAGCATCCATTACGCATCTAAAAACAAGCTACTCATGGCTGCCTTGCGCCCAGTTCCTTATTTTTGATGCGGAACGTAGTGACGTTGCGCGTATGGCGCCGTGCGTGATGACGCATTCCGTAAGGCGATGGAGAGCTGCAGCCGCATTGTTGTGGGGGGAAGAGAGGTGAGCTAGCCTGTTAGCATAGTGCCCATACGGCCAGCCCAATAACGAGCGAAAACAGGCCCGTTAGTATGGTCGAGCTGTTGTTATCTTGAGCGTGTGACTCCGGCTTTTAAATGCTTATTTTTGGATCCGGCAGGCCGTTACGGATACCTCATATTACACTTGGAATACAACGGAGAAACGGCTGGTGGACGGTAGCGCGGCTCGTGCGCGGATTAAACCTACTGCTGTTCAGTAGGCCACAGCGCTGCTGCTTTTAGCTCGGCCGTACTGCCTTTAAAGATTCTTTGAACGTCGACGGCGAAGGTAAGAACGAACCACAGTGTCTCTGGGGGTTAATTTATATATTTGCGGCTTTAAAGGGCGTTTGCATTCACGTTTTACAGTGCGTGTTTTGTTTTGTTTGACGCCATGTTTGCAGTAATGTCGGTAGGTCTTTCCAAACAGCATTAGCTCACTAGCACAGCCACCAGCAGGCCGCCGGATCCAGTGTGTGTCCTTGCTGCTCAGTTTGTGTGTGTTTTCTTTTCAGTCCAGTGTGTGGCCTTGTTCTGCCCTGCCCCCTCAAACAATCAAAAGCCTGGATGTAAACCGTGGCTGTTATCTGTTAAACGCTAGTTGCTTAGTTAAATGGGTTAATGTGTCAGATTGTGGAGCTTAAAAAGTCAGTTAGGGGTTTAAATAAAAATAATAAAATGAACAACACTCAAATTGTCAAGCACGTTCTATATTGTTGTGTTATTGATTTCTTTTTTACATTTTAATCAAATAAGTAGCTAAGTCAGATGAGAAACGGTACATATTGTCAAAAATACAAACGCACGCGCTTTTTTTCTGTTTCCATGCCAACTTGGCTTTAGGTTGCTATGGATACCTGATGGGATGTGTGCTTGCAATTATGCCTGTTCACACCAAGGACGTTAACTAGAAGGTTTTAAAAATCGTTCTTTATGATATCCACCACACAAATGTAATGATAAAAACTCA